TTAAAAAATTTTCTTAACAAAGCTAATAAAACAAATCTTAAATTAAATATTTTACTTAGAAAATATATAGCTAAAATTAATATTTAAAATTTTATTAGAAAAATTTAAAATTTAAAAAAGTTTGCAAGCAAATTTGGCTGCAAAACAATTTAAGGGATATAGTGATCTGCATCACGTTATACTATAATCATGCATTTGTTGAGTAGCAGATCATCAATTAATTATTAAAATTGTAATTTTTTTATATAAAAACTAACTACAAACATATATAAAATTTTTAAAATATCTTTACTAAATTACTTTTTTTATATTATTTATAATTTGTGCTTATATAGAGGTATTTTTATAAAGTTATACCTTTTTATAATCACCATATTAGAGTGTGTCCAACTGTGTGATTATAGAAGAGGATGACTGTATATAAAAAAAAATTAAAAATAAAAAAGTTAGTTATTTTTTTTTATTTATAGTCAAAATAAAAAAATTCCTAAAAAATAGTTATATAATATCTTTATAAAAAGATTCTAATAGCTTTATTAGTTTAAAAAATTTTTATTTATAATTAGATAAAGCCATAATATTTATAAAGAATCAAAAATATATAAATTTGCCAATTTGTTTTTTAAAAAGAACAAATATAATTTTAGTTTTCAAAAATTTTATTGTAATTGTTACTTTTTATATACTATAATAAAAAAAATTAGATTTATACTGTAATAATTTTTACTTACAGTACTTGATATAAATATTTCATCAAAAAAGAAAGCATCTATAATTTATATTAAACCAGCACTGTATTGTATAAAAATAGAGGCCTTGAAAATAATGTTATATGGTATTATTTTCATATTATCTTTAAAGTCTCTATAACAATACTGGTTTAATGTAAATTATACAGTAGATGCTCCCTAATTAAATTATATTTTAATTAATAAATTACTTAATTAGGCCAGATTGTCAAGGTGCATGCGGGCGTGCCAAATAAACATTTTTTTTTTTTTATTAAGTTACTCATATCTTGTGGCCAAAAATTCCCAATTAAAGTGATTTTAACACTATGGTAAGGCGAATTAAATGTATTACGAGATACTTTAAAAAAAACTTCAGTGTACCTAAACCCCGATTTGATGTGGAAAGAAAGACCCATACAGTGTTAGGCTCTGGACCAAAAGTCCGCTACACTGGACCTATATATATTAAAAAACAACTTTGTTTTGCTTTAGCTATTTTTTTTTGTTTTTTCATAAAATTAAAAAAATCAATTTTATTTGCTAACTTAAGATGTTTTGCACTGTATTATTTGCTAAAATTTTTTTTATTAAAAAAATTTAATTGGATTTGTTTGTTATAAAACAATGAGTTTTTGGCAAATAATTGCTTAAACAAAAGTAGTAATTATTTAAATTTAGTAACTGTCTTTAGCTTGTACGCATTGTATTGTATCGGTGTATACGTATCAAATATTAAACCAATATTGTTATAGAAATCTTACCATATAGTATTATCATCAAGATCCCATTTCTATACAATACAGTACTTGTTTGACGTAAATTATGGATGCCAATTCGCTTCGTCGACAAAGTTGGCCTGATTTTGATAGGGTTTGCCTGATTTATGGTTAGCTATGTCGATATGTAGATTGTTGGCGAATTTTACAAGAACTGCCAAACCAAAAAAAAAACAACTGTTTAGATAGTTTTTAAAAGTTCTAAAATAATATTAAGCTTTTTTAAGTTTTTTTTTGTTTGTCAATAGATACTGTATTAAAGTCGAATATTAATTTGTATACTTTCCTGCGGATTTTACTATTAGTACTCTTAAGTGTGCCATAATACCTGACTTTCTTTAAGAACCGAAAGTTGTTAATTCATTTGATTCAATACATGACATCGATCTTTACGAATTGTTCTCAAATTATAATAGGATTTGTGTGATAGATTTTTTAAGGATTGAGTCCAGTAAGTCATAAGTTTAAAAGCCCCCAGACTGTTCATAATAATTTTTTTTTTTTAATAGCAATAACTAATTTTATAACAAATCATACTGTATACTAAATCTTACTAATTTTTAGAATTTAAATATATGCTGATATTCTGTATACGTACAATATATACTATATATATTTAATTTTATAAAAGTTACACCTTCAATTGATATTAAAAATAAATTATTTTTACAAAGATAAAATATTTATTTTTACAAATATTCTGATATTAACACTTACAATTACAAAGTTCTGTATGGTAGCATAGTATTTCTAAATCATAAATCTAACTATGCATAAAGAAAGCATCATTTGATACAATAACGCCCATAACAATTTTTAAAGCCAAAACACTTGATATTAAGCAGACATTTTAGATATAAAATAAAATTTTTCAATTGTTGTTTATTGGTGTCGTAGTACCATTAGTGTTTGTGTTAGTAGAACTATTATTACTATTGACAGTATTAACCTCACGAGTTAATGAGTTTATTTTGCCATTTGTAATCGCAGAATTAGAGTTCGGAGTTGAAGCTGTAGAGGTCGATGATAAAGGAATAGTGGTTGACACGGGTGACGCACCATTATTTTCTGATGATGATGAAGCACCGCTGGTAATAGTAACGCTATTGGTAATTGTCGGAGTTCCAATCGTCAAATTTGATACGTTTGGTGTGGATATACCACTTCCCAGACCGTAAAGATAACCCCTTACATAATTTTCAATAGAATAAAAAATTCCGAGAAAAAAAAAAGTTAAGAGTGTATTATCAAGTAAAAAGCGTAATTGAAATGAATAAAAAAGTCAACGTACAGGTATTTTTGGTCATCAATTTTATCATCGAAAAATCTTTGACGCATTTTAAAAAACGTAGTCGCTGTCAAAAGACTGTCACTACCAGCTTGATGTTGAGGACCAATTCGAGTAACCTAATTCAACCAACAAAAATTTTGATGACTAAATATGAACATAAAATAAATAAGTAAAGCATAAAATAACCAACCTGTAACTCATCAGCGATGTCTTGCAACCCGCCTTTCAAATTCTTGATACACTTCATGAGGTACTTTATGTCATATATACATGGAAAATATATTCTTAATTGATCAAAAAATTTCGATTCTTCGGCCGGTAGAGGGGAGCATGTGAGTACTTTTAACAAGTATCCAAAATCGTAGCCACTACAGTCAATTTTTTTTATCACCACAAATTATTACCGATGGAAAAAAAAACAACGAAAATGGTCGAAGGGTAAATTAAACCTCAAAAAAAAAAAAAAAAAAAAAAAAAGTATATTTGTATCTCAAATCTTTTAAGCTATAATAAAGTACATAAGAAGATGCTCACCTATGAAAAGATATCCATTTGACATCATCCATCAATACGAATCCTGAACTGATCAACAATTCACCAAACTGCTCTACGTCTATGCCATAATCTTCATGCCTTTTGAAATCGATACCGGACTTTGTCAATAATTCGATGGAATCTTGAGCATACATGTCGTCGCTAGTGCATTAAAATAAAAGAAAAATAAAATAATATAATTATGTTAATTCTTAAATAAAAATGGAAACATATTTAATAAAATACTTACGCCAAGTTAAATCTAAAATTGAATTGCCATGTACAAGTATCTGGTGGTAAAGTCCCGTTCTCATCCGCAAATGTGATTCCTAACTGGATAATTTTTAGCAAATCTACATTGCATCTGAGTGTTTGATAATGGTAATCAGAGCTTGTTCGAAAGTTGCCAATCGGCCTGGCAACCACACCTGGAAATTCCGTGTCCTAATGGGCAAAAATTCAAAATTTCAACCCAACCGATTTATTGCGCGTTCGCTTTGAACAAGTAGACAAGATGAGATCGTGTGGGGTTAACCACACGAAAAATTAAATAAAATATTTAAAATGCATGAAAAACCTTGTACCATCGCAAGGTAAGGGTACTTTTCTACTAGATCACGAAGAACAGTCATTTCCTCCTCTAGATTCTCGGCCCATACTTCTCTTATATACTTGCTTTCATTACTAGCAGGCATTGTTTGTAAAGGGCCCCTGAATATACTGATTAGAACCTCGTCGTTCGGAAGTGTTAATTTCAAAAGAAAGTTCAACAGATAGGATATAAAAATTTGACCAAAGTTGGAAGTACAGATTTTAATAAACTAGGTCTTCAATAAAATATTTACCTCTACGTACAGATTTATTTAAATTTAAAGGAGGTTTGGTTGTACAAAAATAATATATATATATATATATATATTATATATATATCATCAATAATGATAAACGTTTTTGAAAAAAAAATTTTAGTCATAACAAACTTTTCAAAAAATTGAATCAAAAAGAATGGGCTTTACTTTTAGACGTTTATTTTTTTTTTAGTAATATAACACACCAACGGTTATTGAGCCAACTCCAAAAATTAGATAAAGAACATAATAATTTAATTACGATTGTAGTTGATAATGTAAATTAAGTGTCTTAAATTGAACATGGTGGTATGATTTTCTGTTTATTTAAATATTATATTTATCTGTATAAGTCTATTATTTTGTAATGGACTCTTTGGACGTACGACATTTAAATTCCTTAACGAAAAACCAAGGTTTAAATACACAATTTTTTCGAAATAAAGATTTGCAGTAATGGATCAAATCGTGCAGAAGGATATTTTAAGAGCATAAAATGTCTTGGAGACTATTCAAAAAAGTATATCAAAAAATGAGCATTTAACAAAAGAAAAAGATTAGAACATTGGGAGCTACTTGATCGAAAATCAAAGTTGATTGTCATCAAGCTCGATTCGTTGGATGTATGCAGATGTTTATTCTTCATGCAATGACAATTGACGAAAATTAATAATTCTAAAAAAAAAAAAAAAGCAACATATTACAGTTTTTACAATTTAGCAATTATACCAGGAATATCGTCATTTTGTAATTGCAACACTTCCACCAGATCAAAAGAAGCTCTAACGAATGTAACATAATCGTGTTGTATCAAAATTCTCACGATCGAAATTGGCTAGGAGAACGTATTTTACTAATTAATGAGTTTTAATCAAAGTATTTTTATTATTGGTAATATTCTGTAATTACAGAAATCTAACTTCTAATATCCTTTTTTAATATCTGTTGAGGAATCAGAATTAATTTCATTGAAGGACTTACTCTTAATCTTATTTATTTGAGAAAAATTTTCTTTATCATTGTATAAAAAAGGTTAGTGTTTTAATAATCTCTTTTGTTATATTTTTATTAATTGAAATTTTACCATCTGGAGTCGGCAAGTTTTGATTAATCTGGGTATTTGATGCCTGTCAAGTCTAATATTGATAAAATGAAATATTATATTCATAACACCTATATAGTCTGAGTTGGAGTTAAATTAGGTTAGGGTGCAGCTTTAAGATAAATAGAAGGTTTTTATATAATATATAATATATATTAGATATAAGGTCCCGATTTCAATTCTCGTGAGGTTTTGGGGTCCTGAACATTTTTACTTTGAGTACCCGATCCCGTTTGCTTAGTACGTTTTTGAGATATAGCATAAGGTGTTATGTAACATGGGCTTATAAAGATAACTTTTCTTGATAAATATATAATGATGAAATTTTGTTTAATATCCTTTCATTTAGGACGTGATGTGCATACAGATTCTGGTACGCGTGTTGTACTAATTTGCGGAGGATGTCTGGACTAACTGCTGAAACTAGTGAGGCATTAAATTCAAAGATAACAATATGACGAACTTGTGAAACGGGTTTATTCAGTATGAATCTTAAGAGATACTAGTCTGAAGGCACGTCCTTACGTCCGTTTTATAGCAAAATGCATTATTAAAAATACTATCGGACGCATTAAGAAATTGACATTTAAAATTTTTATATATACAGTATATATCAGATATATACAGTATATAGCAGATAGTAGATGATAAATATTTGTACTGTAGATCAAAAAAGGATCCAGATCATGGGGTACATTATTATTAAAATTATATTACACAAATTTCGGCAAATCAGATTCGAAAAAGCGGATATATAGTATATATGAGTGTCGCCAAAGAAAACCCGACACTCATATATAGTATATATAGATATATATTATATAGTTCGGCTGATCTTATAATCTTGTTTTTATTTCTCAGATAA